TGGCTCTGAACCCTCCCTCACCCTAACCAGAAGACGGCTCTGGCTCTGAACCCTCCCTCACCCTAACCAGAAGACGGCTCTGGCTCTGAATGTTTCAATGGATTCAGACTCACCAGACAAGCTGGTTTTTCCCACCACAGACGTCCTCATTTTCAGTGGAAACTCAGGTTCCCTCATAAATCATTTTCACCAGGAATTTCATTTTAGCAGAACAACCATCACTTTCACCCCTTTCGTTCCCCATTTGCTCCTCTTTCATGCAAGTTATGTTCTTAGTGTCAGTTTATTATTAAACAGATGATTATTCCATCCCCATAGTGCTAGACACCCCAATTCAGCAGCAGTGTGCAAGGGAAAGCATGAACACGTGGAAGAGTCAAACTAAATTTTGACTCTACCAAATCAAATCTTGCATTGAAATGAACAGGCCTATTTATGAATTGAACTAACAGCAAAAGTCTATAATAGTTTTAACATTATCAGTGAAATGTGCATAAACCCATTCAGGGCATAGAGTTATGCAGTTTTAAATGTGTATTACTGGGCTATGACAGAAGTGCTCAGGTCATGTTCATTTTAAGACAGGCCTTGACAAACACCGAAAACTGCACTCTGAGATGCTACGCTAATCAGGCAAGACCACGCGCTATGGGTTACTGGTTATGGCTGACCATCATAGGGCAGGTCACAATGAAAACTTAACTATAAGCGAAGGCTAGAGTGTCACCCATGACGGCCAGTAAAACAGGGCATGTTCTTCAGCTGCAGCAGAGATGGTATTTCTAGATTTCCAGCTGTTAACTGGTATTTTAAAAAGAAACAGTCAATTGACTGGTCCACCCGCGAAGGCGCTCCGGGGGCAGGCCCAACATCCAGCTCCACTGGAATATGTGGGAAATACTTGCTGGGTGGCCGGCCGACCTCATCCCCCCTCCACCGGCCAAACGATCCTATATCCACAGAGCCTCCTGCTTGCCTTCTGAGACACACATCCTTAATTCTGCAGCAGCGCTTGCTCTCCTGCCACCCAGACGCAGCTGCACGTTTGCCAAAGCGGTGTCGACTGCCCTTGTTCCAGGCATCACATCCTTCCCGGCACACGAGCCATGACCAGCATATTCTCAGGAATCACGGCCCACCAGAGAGCAGACACCGTGTTCCCGGCTCTCTCTCGCGGTGTTGCCATGGCACAGTGTCTACTCCCCGAGGTAAAATGGACGTTGTTTTTTTTTTCAGGCTGCTGTCTGTTTGGCTCAAGCTGCCACATAAGCAGATCCTGTCTAATGCACCTCCTCCCCCATGTTGAATATCCAGTCTCCTTTAGAAGCCACCACCCCTCCCAAAAAAAAAAAAACATCACCCTGACCCCTATAAAGACTAACAGGAGCATCCATAAGAACGAAGGGTTATGCCATGTTCCCCATTATCAGGCGCTAAGACCAGTGAGATCATGTTTTATTCATCAGTCTGCTTCCGTGATGGAGGGGGGGGGGGGGGGGGGGGGGGGGGTGGCTAAATAATCCAGCTGAAGGACCACCAGCTTGAGGCAGAAGGCTGACCCAAGCGAAAACGTGAGGAGCGCTTCGTGCGAGTCGCGGGGTCAAACGACGGCCAGTGCTGAGCTGCACTCCCGATCCTCCCCCTGCCATCACGGCGACTCCACTGCCCGCGTTAATCACGTTTCGCAGTGTTTTGGACAGGCGGAGCCAGACAGCTTTTACAGCAGCCTTTAATCCTAATAAACTGCCCCCCACCCCACCGCCAGCCGGGTGACTCCCTCTTAGCCAAAGTCCATAGACAGCAAAACAGATGACATGGTCACTGCCACAAGGGGGCGCTGCCACATGGCCATTACAGCCAGTCATGCACTGTGAGCACGCTCAAGGTCAGGAAGTCTCAGCAGCGTTGTCACTTGGAGGCTCGTCAGCACATGCACTGATAAAGGCTCGGCTCAGCCCTACCGTGGGCCTTGAGCTCAATCAGCCAGGCCACCCACCGGCCCTCCCAGATTTCCAGTGCCTGTTTTATGGACAGTGCACTGCAAAAACATCCAGCTCCCTAAACTAGCACAAAGTTTACAAATTTCTGGTCACTGTGCAAAGTGTTAAGTATTTCACCGGACTGAAACCAACCTGCTCAGTCTCCCAGCAGTGAACTGGACCATCCTGAGAAAATAACTGCCCCCCCCCGTCCGGCTATTGGTCAAGCTGCAACACAGACACGCCTGCAGGCTTCTGCCACACCCCCAGCGGCAGCCTTCCAAGTCACACCACAGTGTTTGCACCAGAGACTGAGTGACCGGGGTGGGCAGAGAGTGATAAAGCAAACAATCAGTGAGGCACTCCCATTTGGGGAGAGATTGTGTAAAAGTCCGCATGCCCCGTGCTCTTGTTCCTGGGCTGATGAGGGTTTGGGCCGTTTGGGACCCTCGAAAAGAGTACACAGTTCAGCTGGAGCAACCTTGGACAGCATGAGGCAGGACAGAAAGATTAAGCGAAAAACAAAACAGGCAGCAGATGTTTTTAAAGGGCCGATTAGCGCGGATGCACCGTGCTACGCCGCTGTTATGTCCTTGAGATGAGCCGCGGTGAACGTGCCGCTTCTCGGTGACCTCAAAGACATGCCAGCTACTGGGCCACTGACATCAGGAGTTATCAGAGTGAGCGCGAGCGGAAGCACACAGACACAGCGGGGACAAAGGAAGGGAATCAAAAGGGAGGCTTTACGCTCTTCACCAATCAGGGGTCACTGAGAGACCGGGGACGGCCGCGCTGTGAGGGACCACCGGTGCACCGGACAGAAGGAAAGCCATTTCGGGTCTTGCCACTCGGGCCCGCGGCGCTGTCAGGTAGAGCCCCAACTGCTCTCGATTTGCCATCAGGAAGCACTTTGCCAAGAACCCAAACACCAATTTTTATTTGTACTTTACAAACACTTGGATAAAGCAGAGGCCCACACACACCTCTGGGTTCTCTCTCATAAACACAGGCACCAAGCGGAAATGCCCCCCCGATGTCTTTCTGCGACATTTATGAGGTCGATGTGTAACCCCATCCGACTCAGTCCAAGCACATGCTGGAGCAGCTTAGGAAACCCACACCTCACTGGTATGGTGTCCATATCCAGCCCACTTCTCAGAGAATTCAGATTCAGCTGAGCTCTTAGAGGGCTCTGGGCCACGCAGAGAGCTTGGCAGCACACTGTGAACCCCCCCCCTCATGAATGTGACTGGGCCAGCGGCCCCCATCTCCCTGGCAGATGGGTGAGCCCCGGTGTC